AAAATCCCTGGTACTGGTAACTGTTAGTTGCCCCTGCAAGGTAATCTGAGCTGCTGTTTGGAGGTTTTCCAGGAACTTCATAACCTCAGTGACGAGCAGGCTTAAGTTCTTCCCCCCGTTTCCAGTGAAGAGATGCATCCCAGTGCCCACATACATGCGCCACATATCAGGGAGAGACTGGACTTCGTGCACAGGAGAGCTTTGTTCTTTATGCCTTAAAAGAAGGAACCAGCCCAGGCCTCATAAAACCATAAAGTGACTCTTGGTGTAACTGATATGCGGAGAATTAAACTTTTGCCCGGTGTTAAGTTTAATGAAATTGGTTTTAAGCAAGTGAGTTACTGACGCTGGTAAGGCAATTAAAAAACGTCTCAATCTTTACTACCTTTGTGTTCTCGCATAGCTGATGATTCTTTTATCTACTGTTTATTTCTGAGAACTTTCAGTAAAATTCTATTTGTGCAAATATACTTATGAACATACCATTTATGATTGGGGAAGCAGACTTGTATACATGTTTAGCTTATTAACCACTCATATTTGTGCAACTGTAATTATATCAAAAAAGTGATGCAAAAGGGCAGCTTTCGATATACTTACTATGTTTCACGAAGCTAATGCATTTTGGATTTTGCTGATCAATCATTAGTACTAAAACATATTAATTTTATGGAAGCAAATTCCAAGGCACCAGTTCATAATTTCAAAATCCATGGTTATAGAAATAATATTTCCTTTATTTTAGGCTCTCCATTTCGAAGGGGTTGAGGAGATTCATTCAGGATTTCAGAGTCTGAATGCTGATATCAACAAGCATGGTGCGCCCTACACTCTGAAACTCGCCAACAGGTTATTCGGAGAGAAAAGCTACAATTTCCTCCCTGTGAGTGCTTTGCTGTTTGTGTTCTCAAACTCGAAAGACCATGCAGACTTTTTGCCCAGCACAATCAAGTCACACAAACCAGTTTTAATTTTTATAAACGTTCAGAAAAATGATCCGTAATGAAAACATAACCAACATAACCGCATCGGTGGATGCGGTTTCACTTTCTCATCTCCACAGTGAAAAGATCAACCTTGGCTGCTTTCCTAAAGAAACCAAGAGTGAATCCCGTCATTCACTTCCAAGTACAATCAGTATTTGCTTGTTTATGAAAATGTTAGTCAAAGAATAGAAAAGAATTGGTAAATTTTATACAACACCAAAACTGCTGAACTATACACTTAAGAGTGGTTAAGATTGTCAATTGAATGTTATGTGTTTTTCACCAGAATAAAAAAAAAAGCAGAAGAGCTAGAATTTTTGTTGTTATTACAACGAAATATGCCTTTGGGGATTATTTCTGTTGCTTTTAAGGATTTTAGAGAACCATTTCTAGTATGGAGAAGGAGTTACTCACGACACCTCCTCTTTCTTTTCTTAAACAGGAGTTCTTAGCGTCAACTCAGAAAATGTACAATGCTGAGCTGGCCAGTGTGGACTTTGTGCAGGCCTCCGAGGATGCGAGGAAGACCATTAATGAGTGGGTCAAAGGGCAGACGGATGGTGAGCGAGGGTGGCGCTGGCCGCCCACCGGGTCCTTCCTTCCCTCCGTCTGCCGCTCCCCCTTCCCTCGCCTCCCGGCCTGACCCTGGGGCCCACCTTCCCTGCCCAGGGCCGGGCAGCTGTCAAACAGAGGCATCTCTCAAAGTGGAAATGTAAACGTGCTAAAGATGCTAAAAGCTTCTTCCCTCTGAGTCCCCAAACTGCGTTTAAAAGTTGAAACTAACATTGAATGTGGCATAAAGGGGTGAAAACCTCGTGACCCAGTATCCACAAGCCGCTGTGGTCATGAGTGTTTTGTACCAACACCTCGTCTAAGGAATCAGGCTGTGTCTCTGGTTCGTGTCTCTGTTGTAGGCACAGAATGGTCAAGGCACCCACAGGACACTGGTTCGTTCGCACCCACAGCGGCCGTCACAGCCACATGCATCACAAGTGGGGCCGTGTGTCCGCAGAGGACCAGTCCTACCTCTTACACGTCTGTTAAAAGCTTCCCTGTGGGAGTTAGGCGACCACTTGGATGATTTGAAGAAGTGATTTATATATTAATGACTAAAAACACTTTGGTTAAGAAATTTTTCATTTCCTGGAAAAGAATAGCCTGTCTCCAAATGAGGCTCACTGATTATCACACATCCCAGAAAAGGAGAGTCTTCCTGTTTTTAGCCCTTTAACGCAACAACTTGTTTCGAAGCCTCGCCCCTCTGGGGTAGTTTGTTTCCCCTGATCCGCCCCTCGAGTTGGTGCGTCTGTCTGTCTGTCTGGTCTTGGCTGTGGCGTGCGCTCCTCAGGTGCGGTGTGTGGGCTTAGCTGCCCCGAGGCTTGTGGGATCTTAGTTTCCCAACCAGAGCTGAAATCTGCATCACCTGCATTAGAAAGCGGATTCTTAACCACCCAACCACCAGGGAAGTTGGTTAATTTACAGTGGAAGCACCCCAAGGGGCTTAGCTAACTCAGTGACATGTGACAGGACGTTGAGTAGAAGGAGGCATGTGAATTGCATTTCAGTGCTGATCACGTGTGTTAGTCGCTCAGTCATGCCCACCTCTTTGCAACCCCATGGACTGCAGCCCACCAGGCTCCTCCATCCATGGGATTCTCCAGGCAAGAATACTGGAGTGGGTTGCCATTTCCTTCTCCAGGAGATCTTCCCGACCCACAGATTGAACTCCAGTCTCCTGCACTGCAGGCAGATTCTTCACCAACTGAGCTATGAGGGAAACCCAGTGCTAACCAAAGGTCCATTCAAATTTAGAATTCTGATAGGTGGGTTTTTAAAAAGCTAAGTTTGTCCTTTTAGGGAAAATTCCGGAGCTCCTGGCCTCAGGTATGGTTGGCAGCTTGACGAAGCTGGTGCTGGTGAATGCCATCTATTTCAAAGGGAACTGGCAGGAGAAATTCATGGTGGAGGCCACCAAGGATGCGCCTTTCAGACTGAATAAGGTGAGGGGGGATGACTGTCTAGGTGACTCTGCGCTCCGAAGCCACACGGATAGTGATGGGCGATCTGTGTTCCGATTGTTCAGAAAGAAACAAAAACGGTGAAGATGATGTATCAGAAGAACAAGTTTCCCTTCGGCTACATCGAGGACCTTAAGTGCCGGGTGCTGGAGCTGCCCTATGAGGGCAAGGACCTCAGCATGGTCATCCTGCTGCCGGACGATGTCCAGGATGAGGCCACGGGGCTGAAGAAGGTGCGGCCCCGCTCCCCGCATGGTGCACGGACCGTGTCTGTGTGTGTGTGTGTGTGCATGCACATGTGAGCATGTGTGTGTGTTCACGCGAGTGCACGCGAGCACCTGTGTGTGTTCACATGCGTGCGAGCATCTGTGTATGTTCACATGCATGTGGGCATCTGTGTGTTCACACACGTGCGGGCATCTCTGTTCACGTGTGTGTGAGCATCTCTCTGTGTTCACACGTGTGTGAGCATCTGTGTGTGTTCACACGTGTGTGGGCATCTCTGTTCACACACATGTGAGCATCTCTGTTCACATGCATGTGAGCATCTCTGTGTATTCATATGTGTGTGAGCATCTGTGTGTGTGAGCATCACTGTATGTGTTCACACACATGTGGGAATCTGTGTTCACACACGTGTGAGCATCTCTGTGTTCACACGCGTGTGAGCATCTGTGTGTTCACACGTGTGTGAGCATCTCTGTGTTCACACACGTGTGAGCATCTGTGTGTTCACACATGTGAGCATCTCTCTGTGTTCACACGCATGTGAGCATCTGTGTGTACACACGCATGTGAGCATCTGTGTGTGTTCACACGTGTGAGCATCTGTGTTCACACGTGTGAGCATCTGTGTGTGTTCACACGCCTATGAGCATCTGTGTGCGTGTGTTCATACGCGTGTGAGCATCTGTGTGTGTGTGGAAGAGGCAGAAGTGTGAAGAGGGCAGGTTTTCTTCCGTGTGTCTGTCCTGTTGTGCTCTTCCCTTCCCCTCCTAACTAAACTTCCTGTTAAGCGGGGTCTGATGTTAGCCATCTGCAGCTGCAGCATGTGTTAGAACCTGGGTGTGCCTTCTTTCAGCTGTATTTCCACGGTTGTCCCTTCCTGACTGTAAAGAAGGTCGGGGATTAGCGGCATCAGTAGAGCCGAGCGGCGTGGCTGTGTTCCAGTGGAGCTGCAGACAGGGCGGCCGCAGGTGCCGGGCTCAAACGGCTCACCCCCATGCCTGCCGCTCTCTATAGGGTGACCCAGCGCTTAGAACAGGGCTCCCAGCATGTGCTATGGTTACCCCATTTTAGACGACGAACTAGATCTGTTTCTGGTTTTACCAATGTTGTTGTTGTTCAGTCGATAAGTCGTGTCTGACTCTTTGCAACCCCATGGACTGCAGTACGCCAGGCTTCCCTGGCCTTCACTATTTTCCTGAGTTTGCTTAAACTCATGTCCATCGAGTCGGTGATGCCATCCAACCATCTCATCCTCTATTGTCCCCTTCTCCTCCCACCTTCAATCTCCCCCAGCATCAGGGTCTTTTCCAGTAAGTCGGCTCAGGTGGCCCAAGTATTGGAACTTCAGCTTCTTGAGCTACATCTGTTAGGACAACTTCAGGTGTGTGAAGTTTGCAGATGACCACTGGGACTGAGATAAATAGAAGAAATAGAAGAAAGCTTTAAAAATTACCCCGTGTCAGTCAGTTAGGGTAATAACAGCCATGACGGCGGGTGGTCCAGCGTGGCTGAGGCTCAGTCAGTCCTGGGTGGGGGTGGGTGGTTCCTGGGCCTCGTCTCCATCCGGGGGCCCTTGGTGCCTGGGAACGCGGTTCTGTTTATTATCACCAAGCAGCTGGAAAGGCGAGAAATCCCCAAGTGGAACCTGTTTTGGTGCAAACATGAAGGAAATAGCGAACAGTGGATAGGTTGTCCGTTCGTCTGAACGCCTTATTGACTGACTTCCATAGCATGGGTTCAGCTCTTGTTTTCACCTATTCTACTCCAGATTGAACAACAGCTGACTCTGGAGAAGTTGCGGGAGTGGACCCGACCCGAGAGCCTGGACCTCCTCGAGGTCAGGGTCCAGCTGCCCAGGTTCAAGCTGGAGGAGAGTTACGACCTCAGAGAGCCCCTGGCCCGCCTGGGTGCGCCGGATCTCTTCAGTAGCAAGGCGGACCTGTCCGGCATGTCAGGGGCCAGGGACCTCTTCATATCCAAGGTGGTCCACAAGTCCGTCGTGGACGTGAACGAGGAAGGCACGGAGGCGGCGGCCGCCACGGGGGCCATCGCCGAGTTCGCCATGCTGCTGCCGGAGGAGGAGTTCGTTGCCGACCACCCTTTCATCTTCTTCATCCAGCACAAGGCCTCCTCGCACATCCTGTTTCTAGGCAGGCTTTCCTCTCCATAGTAGCTAGAGATGTTAATGCAAGGTCAAGCCTACAGCTCTTTGCATGCCCTGTAGATGGTGACCATTCTCATATATCTTTACCCGTAAAGTACTATTCGATAATGAATCTTTACTCTCCTTTGTAAGCTTAGCTCTGTTGGCTGTTCACACCAACTAACTTGGCATGGGTATCTGTTCTTTTTTTATACTGAAAAATCCCGTGATTTCTCTTGAGCGCATTGAGTTAAAAAAAAAAAAAGAAAAAATCAGATGTATAGATCCTTGACAGTGTAGCAGTCTATGAAGTTGCTATACTCTCCTGAGAGCCGTGGGGGACAGTGGTCACGCCGTCATCTGTTTTTAAAGATAGACTTTTGGAAGGCACAGTAGAGAGATGTCCTGATAGCTGAAGGGAGGCTTCAACAGATACTCAGTTGAAATACAGGCGAGTGCCCCCACTGAGGGTCAGGGTTATGGGACGGACTTGCCTTGGCGAGGTCTCTGACCCTGTGTTCAGCCCTCCGACCCGGTGGTAACCCATGCCCTCCCGTGTCTGTCCCCCCTTGCTCCTCCGGATACACGTTATGAGGGGTCACGAGGACTCAAGCAGTGGGTGTCTTATCAGGAAAGAAGCCAAGACATGACAACAAGACCTCACTGCTAACTGGCTTCTCCCACGTCTTCTGATAGAAGCTCTTGACACCCGTCATCTTACACAGGATCTCATGGCAGCAGGACAGCTTCATGCAAGGCTGTGGGGGAGGCGGGTGGCAGGGTGCTCTCTGATGAATGTGAACCTTTGTCAATGTTCTTCTTGGAATGCGCCTTGACATGCTGCATCTTCTTTCTCTCGTGAAGCTGGTGGGTTGGTTAATAAAGTTTCCAAAAACCAGACTGACGTCAGTCCTCTTCTTGTTTCTCCCTGATCTCGGGCAAGCCAAGACTGCAGAAGGGGGTTCTGGGCCTGACCTGTGCTCACATCTGGCTGATACGGAGTGAGTGCACAGCACACAAAATTCCAGCCAACCTCACGTTGGCAGGCGTGTCTCCTCCTTTTAATCTTAAGATACTTCCTGGCACCTGCCACACCCCGGGTCCTCTTGGCTGCAGGGAGCACGAGGAAAGCCACAGTTGTCTGTCCTGTTTTCCTCCTCAGTCCAACATCTACTCAGCGATTTACAGTAAATCCTGTTGATCAAGTGACATGGGCCCAAGCAGCTCTGCTCAAATCCTCCCTTTCTGTGTCTGAGGGGACAGGCCCCCGGACTACTGTCAGCTGGTGACGTCAGAACAATCAGGAAATTTGAGAGCAGGGTCTAGATCTGGTTCTTTTTTTTTTTCCTGCCTCACTGCCCATAGCAACCAGGGATGGAAGGAACCAGTGCCCTTGTGGCCCTGGCAGTCAGAGCGTGGAGTCCCAATGACTGGACCACCAGGGAAGTCCCCCAGTTCGTATCTGATGTGGAGAATGTCCACCTCTCATAATGATGAGTGAGATAACCCAGAAACCTCTGGAGACCAATTGGAAAACCAAAGAACATACATGGCAGCCCCTCGGGGGAAGGTTGACTTGATACTGGAGAGACACTGGGCCCAAGACCCAGGACGGACTGGGGCACCTCCAACCCAGAAGAGGTCTATGAGGCGTGATGTGAGTGTTTTGGCGCTGTGCTAGGCTAGGGCACCTGAGTTTGGACCCGTCAAGAGTGAGGGCCCCACTCAACCTCCTGACACCCTAAGGTGTGAGTGAACCATCGCAGAATGCAGCCCTGCTAAAGTCGTCAGACAGCCTGGGAAATCCCAGGCCCTAGAACTGGGTTACATTCATCCTGGTTTGCGGCAACCCAGAGGCAGAAAGATTACCTATAAACTTCAAATGACTTTTTATAAGCAGCTTTTCTTATACAACATCCAGCATACAATTGAAGGTAACTGGATGGGTGACACCTAGTCTGCCCTGCAGACATCCTCCTGACCCATGACAACATAAACTAAAACCAGCACACAAAAACACAGTTGATAGAAGCATAGGTCCTGAGGCTCCTGCTATTAGAACCATCACGCAGAAATCACAAACCAACACTGTCATCTCTGATCAACATGACAAAAGATGAGGTTAAACATCTCAGAGGATAATTGGAAGCTTAAATCAGTCTAAAAAATGAGATAGAAATTCTAGAGCTCAAAAACACAGTTAAGAATGAAGTACTAAATAGGTAAGATTTATTAGCAAATTATAGATGGCAAGAGAGAGTAACTGTGACTTGTCAGATCAGGAAAAATTATCCACAACTTCTTTCAGAGAGAAAACTAATCCAGAAAGACAAAAGGATGTAAAAATGAAAAAGGGAAGATAAAAACCCAGAGAAATCAGTAAGAAGACACTTCAGAGGAAAAGAGGGGAAAAAAAAAAAGAGTCTGGGCAGTGGTGGTTGGTGGTTTAGTTGCCAAGTGGTGACCGATTCTTGCAACCCCATGGACTGTAGCCCGCCAGGCTCCTCTGTCCATGGGATTGCTCAGGCAAGAATACTGGAGTGGGTTGCCATTTCCTCCTCCAGGGGACCTTCCCAACCCAGGGATTGAACCTGCATCTTCTGCATCGCAGGCGGATTCTTTCCCGCGGAGCCACATGGGAAGCCCTGACTAGGGCAGAATCAAGTTTAAAGAGCTGACATTCAACATGACTTCAGACAGATGCGTCAGTCCCCAGACTCCCCACGTCCCACGCGGGGCCAGTCCTGGCGCTCCACCTGCGATGTTCGTAGTTTAAGGTGGGTGGCGTGGTCTTCAGGCTGCAGATGGGAGGAAGGAAGCTGCCCGGGACCTTGGAGCAGAACTCCTCCCGACGCATAGCCGAGAACTGCCCATGGGGATGAGAGCTAACTCGAAGCCTTCAGAAGAGATGCTCACCCTTCACTATTAATACTGTGTTTTCATGCTCAGCTGTGAACCTCGGCCAGTTAAATGAAATCTTCAATAACTTCACAATCTCAAATATGCTCACGTTTGAGAAGGCAGCACATAACCTGGGATTGCTTGGGAAGAGGGGGTGGACGGCCCTGCGGTGGGACCTGCCGCGTTCTCACATGTCCGAGGCACATCTCCAGTGCCCTGGCCCCCCAGGGTCACTGCTAAGAGCCGAGATCTCTGCACAAAAATATGCCAGAGGATGCATCTGTCATAAAAACCTCCCGGGACTTCCGAAGGATCTGTTATACTTCGACCTTGGAAGGTGGGTGGCTCTGAGACATGTACAGGTTATAAAGCGGAAAAGCATTTCTTCATCTAACCTCTTGGGCTTCTAAGTACAGGCACAGAATTGCGACACCGGAAACTCTCCAAGCTGGAAAAACAGTGTGTGGCCTGTGTGACCGCAGCCCCGCCTACGGTATGGGCAGAGCCCTGCAGAATGAAGAAACCATTCTTTGCCAGCAGGTGAGGTGTAGTGTGCAGCCCAGGAGTCAGGAGACAAAGGTGAGTTTCCAGCTCACGGGAGAGACCATGACCAGCCCAGCCTGCACAGCAAAAGGAAGTTCCTCAAAGAGGTTGTCCCGAAGTTCTTACACCAGCCCTTCCTGTATTTTGTAAATGTCTGTTACAACAAATCCTGGTAGTAAGATCTTTGCTCCGGCAGATACATAAAAGTTTCCTGTAAATTAGAAGTGTCGACGTTTTATTATTGCACAATATTTTAAAAAGTCAGTTTTCAAAGAATAGATGCATTGCAAATGTCAGTGTTCTGTGCAAAATTTGATACATTAGGAAATTGGGTAAAAATTGGGTAAAAAATGTTTAGAAATTTGCGTAAAAACGTTCCCATTTTAAAGTAAACCCAGTTGTTTATCAAGGCAAAACAGTAGATACTTAAAATTTTCAATTGCTCTCCTATGACCTAACTATATCGAAAGGAAAGGACTGGTGGAATTTTTGACAGTCCCTCCCGGCTTGTGGGAATTTAGTTCCCCTACCAGGGATGAAGCCGCACCCCTGCAGTGGAAGCATGGGGTCCTAACCACAGGATGGCCATGAAATTCCCTTTCGTGGCTTCTAAACTCAGCAATTTCTTACTGTATTTTACGTCCTACATTATTCGCTGTTGTTGCTTGCTGAACTAATTTTCAAAAATTGATGCTTTTTCATCATTGTGGGTATTTTTAATGAACATATATCAACTCCGTGAGTGAGTTAACCCCGTGGACAGTAATCCCCACTGAGGAGACACTCCGCCCCAGGAGGCCAGCACAGCGGAGCGCGAGAGCGGAGTAGAGGGCGGGCTGGCCGGTGGCGTCCCCGGGCGGGCTCCGGGGCTCCGGGACGGCTGGCTGTCCACACGGGGCACTGTTCTCTCTACTGCTTGTGGATGCCGTTTGCTTCATCATTGCAGCCATCAATTTCCTACCTAGGGATCACCTTTATTTGACTTCAGAAAGCTCATGAACACCTAAAAAATGTCTGTATTTTGATAAATGCCATTTCTGAGGCATTAGCCAGTGTTTTATATGGTACCTTCCACACCTGTAAGTAGGATAGCTCAAACATGTTTCACAAAATGAACTCACCATGTATTCAGCACCCAAAGCAAGAAACACTGATCTCTCAGCCTTCTGAATACCACACCCCGGCCAGGGTGCCCTCTCCTCTGCTTTCTAAAGACCCAGAGGGGTCTTCTCCGTGTACCCTCTGAGTTTAGTTAATCTTACATTTTGTGGGTAGTTATAGATACTGTATATGTTAGTCGCTCAGCTGTGTCCGACTCTTTGTGACCCCAGGGACTGTAGCCCACCAGGCTCTTCTGTCCTTGGGATTCTCCAGGCAAGAATACTGCAGTGGGTTGCCGTTTCCTTCTCCAGGGATCTGCCCAACCCAGGAATCGAACCCGGGTTTCCCGCATCGCGGGCAGATTCTCTACCACTGAGCCACCTGGGGAAGCCCAGTGACGTTGTGTGTGGAGCCCATGATAAGTCTGCTTTGAATGACATCTTTTCTTGTGGAGGAAGCACCAGGCTTAAGGATGGGAGGTCTGTACGGCTGTGTGTGCTGCCGTGATGATAAAATACTCCCCAAATAAACAACAAGGTCCTACCGTACAGCAGAGGGAACTATACTCAACACCCTGTGATAAACCGTGAAGGGAGAGAGCATGAAAAACTGTATATGTACACACATATGGGTAACTGAGGTACACTGCTGTCAGCAGAAATTAACACATCGTAAATCAGCTATACGTCAATAAAATTAAAAATATACATATTCCTCAAATGAAGTATTTGGTTTTTGTCTCTCTGGCCGGCTCTTCTCTCCTGGGTGTTAAGAAAGACACCAAGTGTGAGCTGCTCTGTGACCAGTTACACAGGAAACTTCGCTTTCTGAGCAGATCAACCACGGTTTTGTTGCAACAATGAATAAAGCTCTGGGTAAGCCTTCTTTGCTTACAGCAAGGTCCATATTTATGGAACGGAGTGGGGAGCTCAATGCTTTGGTTCTTTGGAGAACTGTTTGCCGTTACCCCTCCCGACATAGACATTTCCCAGCTCAGGGATTTACAGGCTGTTATCGAAGATGGCTCATGGGTTATTACTGACGACGGCTCTGTCTCTTTGACAACCAGGCATGTTGCCTGGCAACAATTTCCTTGTTGCTTTCATATCTCCCTTTATCTCTGTTCCTACAACTTCAGCAAATCTGTCCCTCTTCTGCTCCCTCCCACACAGAATAAAGTCCCTCCATCCTCCTGAGTTACCAGGCGGAAGAAGCAGAGTGGCAGACCCAGGGGGCTTGATTCCGAGAGGCTGGGTTCTTCACTGCTGCAAGTGCATCTTGGCTTAGAAGCTGTGTGGGTTATCGTTACCATCTTTCTAAATTCCATATATGTGTGTTAGTATACTGTAATGGTCTTTATCTTTCTGGCTTACTTCACTCTGTATAATGGGCTCCAGTTTCATCCATCTCATTAGAACTGATTCAAACGAATTCTTTTTAATGGCTGAGTAATATTCCATGGTGTATATGTACCACAGCTTCCTTATCCATTCGTCTGCTGATGGGCATCTAGGTTGCTTCCATGTCCTGGCTATGATAAACAGTGCTGCGATGAACATTGGGGTGCATGTGTCTCTTTCAGATCTGGTTTCCTCGGTGTGTATGCCCAGTGCAAAACAGAAAAAGAGACACAGATGTACAGAACAGACTTTTGGACTCTGTGGGAGAAGGCGAGGGTGGGATGTTTCAAGAGAACAGCATCGAAACATGTATATTATCTAGGGTGAAACAGATCACCAGCCCAGGTTGGATGCATGAGACAAGTGCTCGGGCCTGGTGCACTGGGAAGACCCAGAGGGATCGGGTGGAGAGGGAGGTGGGAGGGGGCACCGGGATGGGGAATACATGTAACTCCATGGCTGATTCATGTCAATGTATGACAAAACCCACTACAATATTGTAAAGTAATTAGCCTCCAACTAATAAATAAATAAATAAATTAATTAATTAAAAAAAAAGAAGAAGCTGTGTGGGGAAAATTCCTGTTGACCTTTAAAGAGCCACTGGTGAGGCCAGCGGCGGAGCGCATGGTCGGCCCGGGACGGGAGGAGAGGGGAGGTTCGAGTTCGGGTTCAGGGTCACGAGCTGTGCGGGACTGGTCCAGGACTGGATTTTCCGGGGTGGGCAGGGGGCGCAGGAAGAGCGTGGTGCTTGGAGTTTCCGACACAGAGGACAAGGCACTTTTCCTTTCTCTAGTGGCAAAAGGTAAAAAACCTTAGCCGATTCTCAAGCAGCTGTCGTTCAGACCTGGAGCACTGACAGTACCCGAAGCAGGCTGGTCTGAGCTGAGGAGGAAGTCTGCTTGCCTGCAGCTTGTCCTGGGGGTCCCGGCTTCTCTGCCGGCAGACCGTCTGACTCAGGCTGGGAGTCTCCGGCTAAGCTACATCCGCTACCTTATACAACCAGGTGCGCTTTAAAATAAAATGCTTGCTCCAGGAGGACCTGTCCTCAGGTACCACTGACTCCTAGTGGAGGTCAGCCATCACGCCTTGGCGGGACTGGGGCTCTGTGGGCAAGCCTGGGTGGGGGCAGCCCATGAGAGCCTGGGCTCTGGGGGACGAGCTGACGGCGGGCCCTCGTGGGTCTGCGCCTCCAGGAACGAGGATGCTCGGGGGGACAGCGCCCTCCTCTGTCGGGCTTCGAGGCCTCAGTCACAAGCGGCCAAGGGCGCCAGCTGCTCCTCTCCTGCGTCTGCCCTCAGCCACGCACGCGTGCCTCCTCCCACACGCGTGTCTGTGTGTGTGCCCGTGCTCTCCGTCAGGGCTGGGCCCCCCGCCCCAGGGGACGTGTGACGGCATCTGAGGTTCAGAGCTACCACAGCTGCGGGGTGGGGGGGGCAGCACCGGGGCCTCGAGCGGGTGGAGGCCTGGAAGCGGGAACGTCCTGTCACGCACAGGGCGGCCCCGCGCCCAGGCGACCTGACCTTGGGAGTCAACGGTGCCTCGGTGGGAAACCCTCCTCTCCACGGAGGCAGGACCGCCCGTGTCCCGTCCTTGTTCCAGAATGCTGGTTTCTACGCCTGGACCCGTGGAATCGCATACCCCCACGCGCCCCGTGCACACGCCTCCTCCCCCCGAATCTTCTATGCACACAGGACATTCTCGCCTCCGCCCTGGACCCTGCGCTTCCATGAAGGCTGAGCAGACCTTTCTCTGAACCACCACCGGGACCCTGTTTTACAGCTGCTAACAGAGTGTCGGCTCCTGGAAGGCAAAGGCCCGCTTCCTTCTTGCTTTGGTCCCTTCTTCAGATCCTCGTAATCCAACTACAGGACAGACCATGAGAACTGTTGTGATATCGAAGGCGCTGTACCGGCCCGGCTGAATGTAAAGCGGGGAAAGACCAATTCTGAGTGAGAGACGTCCCCTAGGAGGTGGCATCGAGCCAGGTCTGCCCGTTACTAGCATATTCACTATTTGACATAAAGTACCAGCTCTTTCACAATTATTTGTACAAGTATTTTAGTTACGAGTCCATTTGTCCTGCCATAAGCTTAGCTTGGACGCTCGTCCCAAGCGCTTTCTATAGTCCCAGCCCTCACACGTTAAATCTGTTAAGAGAATAAGTGAATGCGTACAATCAGGTACGCAGGTCCGGTGACCTAAACCCGAGGGGTTTAGACGGAGACGCGATGAGGGGGAGACTGGAGGGAGGGGGTCTCTGCTTCTTCCTTCTCCACTCGGCCCGAAGGCAGCCTCTCTGGGCCTTTCTCCAGCGAACCTGGCTCACCCGTAGAGACACCGAGGGAACTCAGTGATGTCGTGGGGACTTGAGTGCACAGTCAGGAAAGGAGGGAACTCCGTTAATTACGCACGTACTAGAAGGACGCTGCTCTCAGGCCGAACTCTCCATAGACATAACCTACTGCTATTGTTTCAAATACATTCCCCCCAATAACGTTTTTGCGTATCCATTTATGGTGCGTCGGGCGGGCCTTTGTAGCTATGTGGGCTCCTCTCTAGCTGCAGCGCCCAGATTCCCGTCGTGGCCGCTTCCCTTGCTGCCGAGCGCGGGCTCAGGGGCAGGCTCAGGGCTTGAGGGGCCCGTGCCGAGCTGCCCCCCAGCACGTGGGGTCTTCCCGGACCAGGATCAAACCTGCGTCCCCTGTGTTGGCAGGCGGATTCTTCACCCCTGGGCCAGGGGAAGTCCCAGGGAAGCCCCCTGTTATTAACTCTTTTAATGTGCTAGTTTTTTGTTTGTTTCAGGTAGAAGTACTGTCAGGATAGGTACATTAGGAAATGGCATCCATTAGCTGGGTTAATGGAGAAAGCTCCGATAGGGCAAAGATCTATCAAAAACAACTGACTTTGGTCTTTTCTTCTCCCATCAAAGCCCAATGTCTGCCCGAGGGCAGTGAGTGGCCCAGGATTACTGCTGGAACCGGACCGAATGACTCAGAAGTTCCTTCCCCATCCAATGATGCCTGTGAGAAAGCCAAGATTCTCTGCAAGTGATCTGATCTTAGGGCTGAAACAGAGTGTCACCGGCTCTGTGCATTTATTATGCTTTAATAACACAGAGAAAAGCATCCCAGCACTGAGCTGAGTCACAAGGAGTGTCCGGTGCACCGGCGTCCAGAAGAAACCACACCTGGGCTGGTCCCAGCACACAGACGCCACCGCCACTTCTCACAATTCCAGGGTCAGAAAGAAAATCTTCTCTTTCAGTAGAAAGGGGCTTCCGTGGTGGCTCAGTGGTAAAGAATCTACTGCAGGAGACAAGGGTTTGATCCCTGGGTCAGAAAGACCCCCCCCCTGGAGGAGGGCAGTGCAGCCCACTCCAGTCTTCTTGTCTGGAGAACCCCATGGACAGAGGAGCCTGGTGGGCTACAGTCCACGGGGTCGCAAAGAGTTGGGCACGACTGAGCGACTGAACACCCTTGCAGAGGGGCCTTTCAAGGTCCGTAACAAACCCCTGTCTGTGTGCCAGGCCCTGGAGTCTTCACTGGGACTCCTCTCTGGCCCTTTAGCTCAGGTTTACGTGAAGAGACTGCGGGGCAGCTGTGGATTTGGGGTACCTGACTCCACACCCTGGGCCCCCTCATGTCCTTCTTCTCCTCTGGGCGTCAGAGATCGGGGCGGGGGGGGGGGTGGATGGGCCCCGGGGGCAGAAGGCCCTCGGCAAGAGGGGAGCAGCAGCCAGCTCGGAGATCTCAAAGAAAGACAAAGAAAGATGCTCCCAGCAGACGTTAGTGCTCCTGGACAGATAGACGCTCTTCTTAGCTCCCATTTCAAAACAGACTTGGAGCTTTTTCAATAGGAAACTGGAAATCCCAAGTCACCAGTGATGGAGGGGTTGGGGGTGGGGGTGTCTCGAGAGCCTCCGTGCCCTCTGCCCCCAGAACCCTGACGCCTGACTCAGACTCCAGCCTCCATCCCGGCCTCGTCCCACCCACCCGGCTCCTCGGCCCCCGCTGGCATCATGCGGACTCTTGCTGCAAGGTTGCTGAAACCCAGTGTCACCTGGCTAAGACGGAAGGAGGGTGGCGGTTTACTGGCAGCTGGGAGAGACAGCAGGGGTGCGGCTGGCTCCGGAAACCCCTGCACCGCAGCCCGAACATGCCCAGCCACTGTCCTCGGGGCCAGCAGCCTCCTCTCCCGGCTCTCCACAGTCACACGGGGCGTCCCGCCCGGAGGAGCCGCAACTGGAGGGGGCACCCAGCAGGCCACTGCATGGAGTCTGCTCCATGCAGACTGGAGAGAGACTTCCTCGCCTGGAGGAAGCCCCCAGGAACCCCTCGGTCACACGCTGAGCACGCGGGGCAGGATGTTCCCACGGAAGGGGGTGGTCGGGCTGAGCACACCGAATTCTAGGCGTCCACCTGGCGTCACGACACCAAAGTGTCCCAGAGCCACTCGGGACGCCGTTTCTTAGCACGGGTCAGGCACAGACATCCCGGGAGACCCTGGGACGGCAGGAGTCCTGGGAGCAGCCCCAAGACATGCTGGTCGCCGGGCTGGGCTCTGCTTCCTGGCTTCTCACGGGCCCTGAGGACTGTGTGCTGGCCGGAGGCCCGCCCGAGTGGCCCTGCCTCAGAGACCGAGCTGTGTCTGTGGCTTCCCGTGAGATCTGATGTCCACCCCGGAGAGGAGACTACGGAGAGGAACTGGCTTTGGACCTTCCATGATTTCAACACACAGCTTCCTACCCCAGGAGCAGGGAGGCAGGGGCAGGAGGCCAGAGAGGCTCCGCGTCAGCACCAAGAGGGCTTATCGTTGTCGTCGCTCAGTCATGTCCGGCTCTTGTGTGACCCCATGGACTACAGCCCGCCAGGCTCCTCTGTCCCTGGGATTCTCCAGGCAAGAAGACTGGAGTGGGTTGCCATTTCCTTCTCCAGGGGATCTTCCCAACCCAGGGATCAAACCCGGGTATCCTGCATTGCAGGCGGATTCTTTACCACTGAGCCCCCTGGGACGCCCACCAAGTGGGCAGATGACAACAAACAGCAGAAATCCATCCATCCTGTGTTCTCAGGGCGGTTTGCCCACGTGGAGAAAAGAGGGTAAGAACATGGGGCCTCCCCAGTGGTCCAGGGGTTAAAAATCCCCCTCGCAATGCATGGGACGTGGGTTTGATCCCCGGTCAGGGAACTAAGATCCCATATGCCATGGGGGCAACTGAGCCCAAGCGCTCCAAGTAGAGAAAAGCCTGAACGCCACAATGAAGGCCCTTAGTGCTGCAGCTGAGCCAAATGAAGCCAAATAAATAAATAAAATAAAACTGCTAACTAAAAAAAAAGTAGACAACAGTTTGCCAGCTGGGTTCCATCCACGCCTATGTGAACGACCATCAAGTTAATGAAAAAAATATTTCTTCCGCCATGTCCCACCTCTGAAACCTGCCCACTGTCCCTCACATAGCCATGGATTAATGACAAGAAGAGTCCCTCACTTTTGGCAGCACCAGAAGTGAATAAAGTGCTTTCCCCTAAGTCATTTCATCTGATTTTCATAAGAAACTTCCAAAGTAAAAGTGGGCCCAGTAGCCTCTCTTAGCCTCCGTTTTAAGCGGAGCAAACCTCAGCTCAAGGGAGTGCAGTGAGTTGACAGAGACTGGACGATGCCTTTGTCTCAAAACCTAGCTGTCCCATCATGGAAGGGGGCTGGAACTGCAAGGCTCACCAGCAAAACGTGGAGTTTCCTGTAAGTGGTTTTTTGGTGTGAATTCAAATCATACGTGCTTTCAGAGGTCATCATAATCCACTCTCCATCAGGGGATGAGGACACTGAGGCTTGAGGATATTAATTCATACCCTGGGATCCCAGGAGCTGTCCAACTGAGTCTCACCATTATGACCTTGAGCACGTTCATTGTACACTTATTTCACTTCATTAGAGTGTCGTGGACAGGTGACTTGCCATCAGTTTATTGCTTAAATAAAAACTACAGAGTGACCCAAGTCCTACTTCTAGAGCAGAAGCAGAAAGTTCATACCACATCCTAACTACACCTACCTACTACATCCTAACTACTCCCCAGGTGTCCCCAGCTCAGTCAGGGAACCACGCCCCGAACCAGGGAAGGTTTGCACCTGCCCGTCGAGGACCAGTCTCATCCTCGATGCCACCATCTTCTCCAGGAAGAAAACCAGCTAAACAAATGCTCGTTGAAGACCTCCCAGGCACCAGGCATGGTGGGGTTACCACGTCATCACCACGGCTACTCTCAGAAGACTTTTCATCTGAAACCAAGAGGCCAGAACCTGGGCAGGACCAGCTGCTGGGTGCGATGTCAGCGGAGGCAGGCGCGGTTTGTTCTAACTGGAGACAGGTCAGTTACGCCTTCACATCTTTGCTGGATCTTGGGGCAACGTTTCAAACAATAGATTGTGGAGAAAACACAGGATTCTGACCCAAATGCTTTCTGCTTCAGGGAACGGTTGAGCGTTAGAAGGCCCTATGTTATGTAACTTCCACCTGGTAATGAACGCCAGCTGGGACTCTGCCGTTGCTCAAGCAGAGGCCGCCCGGACCCCAGCGCAACCCCCGGGGGGGAACCCAGCACCTTCCTCTAGAGCACGTGAATGCGGGCTTCTGATGTCCCCGGTTAAGTGCGAGGTTTTGCATGCCCTTGGCCCCAGAGGAGGCTTCTTGTTTTCACAATACTCGCTTCCCTGGAACGTAAGAGTGGGGAAGGGGTGGGTGGGCAGGAATTTGCGGGCTGCAGGCTGGAGGCCATGCATCTTGCTCCTTGGTCAGGAGCCAAGTCAATAAAACTCCTGGTTCTCAATGGAAGTCAGAAGTTCATCAAAATTGGCCAGGAGCACACAAATCGAGTTGCTCGAAAAATCTGTCTTCCTCAGGCCTGGCTGGCCCCGTGGAACGTCATGAGAACCAGCAAAACACCCTTTCCAACTCCGACTGTCAGCCAATCCTCCCGTGGGCAGGTCTGGCCAGCACAACGCACACGAGCCCACGTCCAGGTGGATGATTTCAACGAGCTCCACGGGGGAAAACCAGCAGCTGTGGTGGGAAGGGGCAAGAGAGGCAGGCAGGCCGGCCCAGGAGGCGCGGGGACTTGGGGCAGGCTGGTCGGCCTCCCAAGTCACCGAACGTGGTCAGAGCCAGCAGCAAGAGAGACAGGAGTGCGCAGGAGGGAGGTAGTGGGGTGGGGGGAAGACACCCTGCATCCGGAAGAGCCTTCTGGCCACCGGGAACTGCTTTCTGGATTCTCCAAGTGTGGTCTGCAGGGGCCGGCAGAGAAAGCATCACCTGGGGACCTACCACAGCTGGACTGGACTGGAATTCTGGGTTCCAGCGGGCTCACGAGTCTGAGAACCACTGGCCAGGCGGCAGAGCACTCAGGCTGCCTGGGTCCCAAGCCCTCTCTGTGGCCCCGGACAGTCACTCAGCCTCCCTGAGTCCCAAGTTCTGCTCTGGATTCAAAATAGACGCGGCTTAGATGGGCACTTGAGAAACAGATGATAAAGCACTTTCAACAACGCCGGACACACAGAAGGCAGCATGCCCATTTACGATTGTTGTACAGTTGCTCGGTCGTGTTCAACTCTTTGTGACCCCATGGATGGCAGCACGCCAGGCTTCCCTGTCTCCCACCACCTCCCAGAGCTTGCTCAAGCTCATGTCCATTGAGCCAGTGATGCCATCCAGCCATCTCATCCTCTGTCATCCCCTTTTCTTCCTGCCCTCAATTTTTCCCAGCATCGGGGTCTTTTCCAATGAGTCAGCTCTTCCCATCAGGTGGCCATAGTATTGGAGCTTCAGCTTCAGCATCAGTCCTTCCAATGAATATTCAGGACCGATCTCCTTGCAGTCCAAGGGACTCTCAAGAGTCTTCTCCAACACCACAGTTCAAAAGCATCAATTCTTCGGTGCTCAGTCTTCTTTATGGTCCAACTCTCACATCCATACATGACCCCTGGAAAAACCACAGCTTTGACTAGATGGACCTTCACAATGATTGACTAGCCAAAATCGTGTCAAGCGTCCCTGGAAGACCGTGACTGTCCCTGTCCCCAGACTGGCCTCCATAAGGAAGTGACATCCGAGCTGAGACCAGAAGAATCAGAAACGCCCACAGCTCATCCGCACGACTGTCGTGCGTGGTTCTCAGCAGGTATTCCCCACTGCCATTAGGTGACAGTTTGACCCCCATCCTACGGATGAAGTGAGTGAAAACAAAGATGATGACCTTGACCAAGGTCACCCAGGGGAGAAGCGGTGTAGACAGATCTGGGCCCTGGCTCTTCACCACTGGGCGCAGGGGCTGAGGGCAGGGAGGGCGGGAGTGAAGTGGGAGTGCTGCTAGATGGGGGGTGGGTGGGATGCGGTCCCGAGGACTGAAGGATGGGCTCTGTTCTTACTCTGAGAGCCGGGGGAGGACGCGGGTGGGGTGATCAGACCCCTCCCTGGGTGGGGGAGGGCCCAGGGCAGCACAGTCTGGGCTGGCGAAGGAGCTGCAGGAAGGGGCCTGGGGTGCAGACTGCATCTCTGGTCCTCAGGAGCCCCGTGTTACAGCCTGCGTCTCACACGCAGCGCACGGCCCTGGACCGTGTGTGCAGCCACTGAGAACCACACAGACTGTTCCAGGATGTGGCCAACCTCGAGGCGAGAGAGGCAGACTCAGGAACAGGTGAGGTTGCCTCCGATTTTCTCACGCTCGCTGGAAGAAACACCCAGGGGGCAGAGACTAAGAAGCTGGCGGAGCTTACCCCTGAGAACTAACGTTGAACTGGGCTCGTGTTATTTTTCTCGCCATGTGGTCTGTTTTGGTTTCAGCTGTATCCCCTCTGGTACCTTTTTGGCAAAGGTCACAATTACTTTTGTAATCAGACAAGTAAATAATAAGTAACTGGCCTGTGGGGTTAACCACAGACACGCAAATGGTCCTGGCTGAGTGTGGTGGCCGCTGGGCTGAGACTGGTGGAGGCTGCCTCCTGGTGGACACACACGCTGAGGACCGGCCTGGGCTGTAAGACGGCGGCACAGACATCTCAGTGACAGCTCACGGGGTCACTCATTTTGTCACTCAACAAACAGACACTCATCACCTTTTAAACGCCAAGCATGATGGGAATACAAAACCCAACTTACATACTGTTTAAAATAATGGTGTTTATAACAAAATCACGTTTCGGAACAAGGCTTATGTCTGCTTTTGTTGGAGATGTGTTTTGTTTCCACCTTGGTCCTGCTCCTTGGACACTAGTAAGTTTATTCCCAGGTTGTTACGGAGAAGCGGGGTGGTTTTCTTGGCACATTTCCTGATTATAATTATAGTCCAGAAGCTGCTGATTTTCATTTATTGTTCACCTCGGGCCATCTCCCTGGACTGTTTCTCAGGCACAGTCAGGTGGAACGCTGCTTCTTCTGACATGCAGTGACTGTACGTCTGGTCTGAGATGCGTCCGTTCCACCCCCACCCCCGAACCTCCAGACCCCCCCGCTCCCCTGTGCTGCTCTTTAGCCGGGAGCGCCTGGCAGGTTCTGCCATGGGGGCCCTGGCAGCTCGGGGGGCAGGAGCGGCCAGGCGCCCTCTGCCTCCCCCACCCCCCAACTCCCGCCAGGACGCGCAGTGGAGGCTGGGTCCTCCCCCCACGCCCCCAACTCGTCTCCTGGTCCGCTCAGAGGTGCTGGCTGGCTCCCGCCGCCCTGGGCCCCTCCAGCTCCCTCCACTCCCCGCTGGGTCGTGAGACCCCACGGCTGGGCCAGCGAGCTTTCCTTATCTAGAACACTAGTCAAGATGACAGGTCAAGCCCGTCTCATTTCATTTCCTCCTGAGGCCCTGCCCATCCTGCAGGAAAGGAGTCTTAAGCTGGAGAACAAGACGGGGGGGCAGCACAATGTGGGAGGCTGGGGAGAGGGTGGGCCCGCAGCCATGACTGGGCGGGTCCCAGGAGAGCAGCCAAGAACCCACCCTGTCTACACAGCCGGCATCCCCAGGGCTCCGATGGCAGTGCTCGCCCTCTCCTGCCCCAGGAGGCTCTCTGAACCAGACCCAGCAGAGCTGGGGGCCTGGTCCCCTTCTCACACGGAGGCCTGGGATGCAAACGCATGCTGCTGGGGGACGCTGGAGCGTGTGGCACCCAGAATGCAGGGGGCAGATGTTTCCCCACCCGGGGGAGGATGGAAGTTCTCCGGGACTTTAACCTGCCCGAGAGGATAAGCCCTGAAGACTCTGGATGCCAGGTTCCAACAAATGGCTTCCGGAGGATCTGATCACACCCCGCCCGGACCCCACTCACATTCTGAGCTTCCAATCTGCCGTCAAGCTGAACGGGAGCTTCTTACTGGGGTGACTGGACATCTGAGGAGCAAGTGCTAGGAAAGACAGATGCCAAATGGACAGAAAAAACAAGCGTGGAAGGGAAGAGTGCATACAGGGAGAAAATGAAAAACAAGTTTAACATCCAGGGAAGTAAGATAAGCAATCACAACACACATGCAGGTTACAACCAAGAGAAAGGACATAACAGAAAAGTGAGCTCTCGGAGATGTACAACGTGATGGTGGCAAAGATGAAAAATAAGCCCGAGGAACCCTTCCAGGGAGCAGAGCAAGAAGACAAAGGCCGGAAAAACACAAAGGAGGAAAGATACAAACACAACGACTGGTTCAGGCGGGCCGACCTAGGCTGTTCCAGAAGGAGGGGCCAGAGGATGTGGAGGTGAGAAAGACCCTCAGGCAAGAGCAGCACTCTGCAGGGACGCCTGACGCAGACCAAGGCCCCAGAGGAGCTGGGCGGTCCGGAGCGAACCACCAAGCTTTCTGTCCCGAAAACATCCACCGTGGTCCTCGGTTTACTGGGTTACTATGAGAACTCAGATGAGCGTCCACGCTGGCACGAAGAACACCCTCAGTGAACGCCAGCCACCGCCAGCTCCTCTTGCACACACGAGCCACACACAACCCGTCGCCAGATGTGGCTGGCTCTGCCTGCAGGCACCCACATCCCCAGATGGGTCCTCACAGTCTCTGCCCCGCCCCGGCTCAGTGCCGCAGTGCAGGTGGCCCAGGACATGGCTCCTTTTCTAGAAACGCTGAGCAAAAGCCCAGTCTTCCAGAACCAAGGAGTCTCTGTGTCTGCCTGGCACTTCCCTGCCCAGGGCCGCCCCCACCCCTGGGTATCGGGGCACCAGGCTCCTGCCCCGCACCGCCCTGGCTCTGGATGAGGTTCGCTTGGCCGCTAACATCTCGACCACACCTCCAGCCTGTCCACCTCCACCCCGGGGTAAGGACTTCCTCCTCAGGCTCAGCGAGGACTGCCATACTGAAACACTCTTTCTCCAGTTTCAACAGCGCGGGATTTTGTCTGTCGTCTCCTAACATTCCCAGCAAGAGATCAGTGTGAGGCAGGCGCTCCCTATTTACTGAATGAAAAAAAACACCCCAGAACTCAGACCCAAATGTCCAGACTGAACGGGTCCCCCACACACTCAATGAAATAAATCACGGCCAACTGCGACGCCAGGAAGACGCACTCAGCCTGCAGAGGGGGGGACAGGAAGGCGACTGGCCGGGGATGCCCAACTTGGAGCTTCTTTTTCAAGTTATTTGAAAAAACATTTTTTTAGGGTTTTCCCAGGTGACACTAGTGGTAAAGAACCTACAAGAGACATAAAAGAGATGGGTGGGGGGGGGGTTTGATCCCTGGGTCCGAAAGATCCCCCAGAAAAAGGAAATGGCAACCCACCCCAGTATTCTTGCCTGGGAAATCCCATGGACAGAGGAGCCGGTGAGCTATGGTCCACGGTGTCACCACCAGACGGGACTCTGTGACATGAGCATGCACACAGTGTAGGCTTTACTTGGCTGCGCTGGGTCTTCGCTGCGGCATTTGGGATCTAGCCCCCTGACCTGGGGTTGAACCGGGGCCCCCTGCCTCGGCAGGGGGGAGTCTTAGCCACTGGACACCAGGGAAGTCCTCTGACCGAGAGGTTATTCCCGAACCATCGGGCAGGTCTGCAGGCGGAGTCAGAGCAGCCCCAGGCTCTCAGGCGGTTCTGCTGCCCAGGCCTCCGTGCTCCTTAAAGCAACTGCAGGATGTGCTCACGTGAGCAGGCCGTGCACAGGATCCCAAGGTCAACGTGATGCGCGGGGGAAGCAACGGCACCCAGGATAGGACGGTCCCCCCACGGGGCAGACCACCGGCTGACCAGCGGACGGGGTCCTCCCGGAGGAGGGGCGCCCAACGGCTGGAGGGAGCCTGAGGACTCAGCGAAGCGGAGCAGAACCCTGTGGTCCTTTCTCAGGGTCCGCCACCTGCCTTTGCCAAAGGGTAAACTAGCCAAAGGGTAAGTCTGATCAGTGACGCGAGAGGACGCAGAAACAGAGGCGAACAGTCAAGGGAGAGCAAATAGTAGCAGGTCAGGCAGGAAGCAGAGTCAGGGGCCCTGGGCTC